AAAATAAATACTAAATGCAGGCTTGAAAGTAACATATTTTGTGATATTTCTTGATCAATGAATACATATATTCAAAAAGAGCAATGAGTATAAAAGTTAAATCATGCTGATTATTTTTCTTCAGATATTGTGTTTTTCAAAAATAAATATATTGCTAAACATAATGGTTTTAACTTTACAATGAAGCTACATATGTCAATGATCAATGTGGAGCATGATTTCAGCTACACTTCAAATATAAAAAAAATCTATGCTTCTCCAAATGCTGTCACATCATCTTATTATAAAAATATATCTTTTAATTAGGAAGTTAAGCTATTTAGAATAAATATTCTGTAACATCAACAATGATATTCTTGAAAACATTTACCTGTGGACTATTTATGTATTTTCTTATTACATTCAAAATACAAAATAGAGCTCTTTAAATAAAAAAGCTCTATAAAAAAAGCAATGTAAATATGGCCAAGTTCATACTATCAAGATTTACAGATCTACATTGTTTCAAGAATTAGAGATGTGTAAATATAAATTGACTCATTAAATATAATGAATTTTATTAAGAGTTTTACTAATTTAAATGCAATTATACATGCTAACAGCTCAAAGATTTAAATTTTCATTTTCAGGAATCTTCTATTTGGTTAGTGCCACCATACCATCCAGACACTGTTTAGTAATCTTTTGAAACTTACTAAAAGAGGTTTTAAATAATGGTTAGTATCCTTGTGCCTTTCTTTTTTCTTTTTGTAGTCTGTTATATTAACGTGGAGAAACATTTTTGTTGTTGTTTCACCCTGAGGAACTTACCTTATTTAATGACACAGTGTGTGGTTTTCCACCCCTAAGGAGTGATTTTAAAAAGCAAGATAGTTGTTTTTCTCTGTCTTCTTCCCTCCAGCTTTCCTCCTCCTCCTCCTCTTCTTTTCTTGCTTTCTTGCTTTCTCTCTCTCTTCCTTCCTTCCTTCCTTTCTTTTTCTTTCTTTCTTTCTTTCTCTTTCTGTCTTTTTCTTTTTCTTTCTTTCTTTCCTTCTTTCTTTCTCTCTCTCTTTCTTTTTTTTCTCTTTCTCTCGCTCTTTCCTTCTTTCTTTCTTCTTTCTCTCTCTCTCTTTTCTCTCTCTTTCTTTTTCTTCTTTCTTTCTGCTTTTCTTTTCTTCTTTCTTCTTTTTTTTGTATAACCAGGGAAATGACTGCCTAGTACTTGGGTTTTGAGACTTATTTCATAGTCCTATAAAAAGATTTAAAATAAATTTCAATCATTATATAAAGTATAAAAGGCAATTTGTCTCTATTTAATGATAATACACTAGAATTTTATTTAAAAGTTAGACATGATAAGTTTTGGGCAATGCACAGCCCAGGGAAACAATTATATTTCACAAAATGCTGTGTAGTTTCAGCTTTAGAGACTTATATAAATCAAGATATGGAATTTGCCTTGTAAACCTCTAAAGATAAAGAAAAGAATGTATATTTGCTCTAGAACCATAAATGAACAGTTCCTTATGATATCATTAAATTTGTTTAACTTGCCATGTTAATTGTAAAATCTTGCTCAAATCTAAAGATTATCAAGTTTTATAATGGGTTAGAATTATTCTATAAATGAGAAAATAACCTATTTTCTCACAGTAACTTTTTGAATAACCTAAATAAACCTATTTTTCAGGTAAACTTACATTGATAAATAACAAAAGAGCTGGCAAAATTCACCTTATTCAAAGAGAAAATTAATAAAATTTGTATTTTATCATTATGTAATCGAGACCATAGATTGACTTATGAAAGATTGCTTGATTAAATTTTTACTTTCTAATGACTTTGTAAGATAAATAAAGTCTATGATGACAATGGTGATTTACATGTTTACAATTTTGAGATAGTTGTAAAATTTGTAAATATAATTTATTTAAAACAATTTCAAATTATAAAAGATAATACTATTCTGGTAAATTGATTAGGATGGGCTTTTTTCCAATATATATTTTATATTAGTCAGCAATATAAACTTAATATCATACAAAATTGCTTAAGATAGTTGTAAATGTTCTTATTTGTAGTCTGAAGGAAGTATGGGATACTAAATACAGAGTTTGCCTCTTAACTTTCTAGAAATAATATTGAGTCATTTCATAGTTGAGCTTGTATGTACATGTGTAAGATTTTTTCCTAAGAAAGTTAGTTGCTTAGTCTACTCCCTTACTATAGGCAAATTATTAATTAACATTTATTCTCTATTCTGTTTTGAAAGTAATGTAACCAAAATACCTGAAAATTGAGATTGCCAAGAAGAAGGTGTCATAAATTTTTGAATATTTGGGAAATTTATTGGTTTTAAATGAAGGCTTATTTCAAACAATTCAATGTTATTCACGTCCTATAACAGTTTTAAATGTCAACGGGATCAAGTTTTGACCGTGTTATGTCATCTAATTAATTCTTCTGTTAAATGTTTCAACAGAGAGCCAAGACTAAGTTACCTCAAGACTATATATTCCTCCCTATTTTGGAGTCAGTTTCCATTTCTACAGTGTTGTCATCATCACCATCTTCATCATCATTATCATCATGTTCTTAATAAGTACACCTAATAGTAGGTATTAAGCAATGAGAAACACTGTTTCCGTATACTGGCTGTCAGGTGCCACATAAAATCCTTTAATAGAAATATAATTCATGAATTGCAGAACTGCATAATTTAACACATAATACATAATGCATGGCAGTGACTCTAGTCAATGGGGAATTCACAAGTCATATTTAATCATCACCCATTACAAGTGCTAATATATTAATATTTTTATTAATTTGATGTTATTAAACAAATGCTAAAGTTTTGCCTAATTTTATTGGGCAAAATTAATTGTATGCAATACATTTTCACTAGCCTTCTAAACCTGAAATGTTTTTAAGCAATTGAATTAGAAACATTGTTCAATAAGAATTAAAATATTAGAGTCCTGTGTAGCTATTGTTGTTAATTCAATCAACATTTAAAGAGCTTATGTGTGTACAAGCAGTGCCATGAGAACTTGATCTCTGCTCTACACAGCTCAGGGAGAGAGATACATAGAGCACCGACAGGTCAGACAGAAAAACAGGATAATGAGTGGAAAATACTGAGAGGATAAAACAAAATCAAGTTGTGAAAACAAAATAATGTGCCTGGTCAAGTGGAAAGGGCTTCCTAATTAAGTTAAAACTTGAGCCATGTCCTGAGGTAGGGTATAAAATTGGGATGATGTGAAAGATGAAAGAACTCAGCAGGGTACCAGAGCAAGGAGAAACAAAGGGAAAATATTAATGGAAGTCCCACCAGTAAAAGGAGTGTGAGGAGAAAGAGAGAGAGAGAGAGATGGGAGCAGTGGGGAAGGGGAAGAAGGCTAGATCAGAGAAGTTATGATGGAAAAAAACAATAGATTTTAGTTTGACTTGTTTACTAAAGGAGAAAATGCTATTAATAATTGATATTTTAAAAATGGATTGTCCTGGAATTGTGAGCCTTTACAGAAGAGAAGCATAGATGTAGAATTAGGAAGACCATTAAGGAAACTCTTTAAGGAGCCTATCAAAGAAAAATTAGGATATAGCCAGAGGTTGACACAGAAAGTAATAGATCAGTGTCAAAATCATAAAACTGGATATATCTGGATATGTTGCTGGAATCTTAGGTGTGAAATGTAGAAAGTTATCCACCTTCTCTCTGAATCAGTTTTCTCTGACACACAGATACCTAATTAATTCAAAGTGTGTTTTGACTGGCACAAACTATTATGCAAACTTTTTTTAAATGTAAGTTAACATATAAAATTGCATGTATTATATACAACATGTTTTGATGTATATATACATTGTGAAATGGTTAGATATGTCTAATTGGCAAATTCATTACCTCACATATTTATTATTTTTGTAGTGAGAACACTTACTCACTCTTTTAGCACTTTTCAATAATATATTATTATTAACTATAGTGGCCGTGCTGTGGAATAGAGCTCTTGAAATTTTTCTTCCTGCCTAACTGTAAATATATACCGGAAAATGACACACATATGGTCTTAAATATTTTCATTATGTTTCTTAGAAATAGTCTAAGTGGATAATCAATAAAGCAGCTAATGCACAAATAAGTCTTCACATGTATCTCAATCAGGTGGGGAGAGAGACTAACAAAATTTTGTTTCATATGTGTGACTCTACAATATAAATTTTGAGGATCTGTAACAATAAGCCCCAGAAAAACCGAGGTTCTAGCAAATCTATTTCCAATGAGATGGGAACTAAGACAAAAACAACATAGGGTCATATTTTTTTTCATTTGATAAATTATCAACTCTCAGTTATCAAGCTAATGATGACAAAATGTTAATATTTATTTGTAGGTGTCTAACATGCTATAATTTGTCATTTCATGATTAAGTCATATTTGTTTGTAATCACTGTCAATGTTTCTATAGGCATAATCACAAAAAAGACATAATGAAATGCCAGAAATTGTTTTCCACATTTTATGTCTGTGTGAGTGCTAGTTTTGTTTTGAGATGTACAATGAAGAATCAATGTTCAAACAACATTTGCATATCTCATGTTGTGATCTGAAAAGTAGTACGATTTTTCTATTTTTTTTATATCAAGAATGGGTTTCTTGTATACAATTGTCATTGTATTTAAATTTTAAAGTAGACATCTATCTCATGCTAATCAATTTTATATAATGTCATAAGAACATTTTATTTAATATATGTATAATATATACATTACTAGCTGGTTGTTCATTTCAGTATCGGGTGGAGATTTTCTTTAGTCTACTTTTATAGAATATTTAATTATCATGGGTTGAGTGTTTAGTGTGACAATTTGTTATAACTTTAACAATGAAAATGTTCATACCTTCAAGGATGTTATGTGACAAGTCTGTTGAGAATGATTTTAATATTGATCTTGGACAGTTACAGTTTATGTATTTTTGTAATATTTAATTTTTCTGTGTTCTTCTGTAGAGGTCCTTCTGTAGTGCCATGGTAGAAGAATTGAGGATGTCCCTGAAGTGCCAGCGTCGGTTAAAACATAAGCCACAGGCCCCAGTTATTGTGAAAACAGAAGAAGTTATCAACATGCACACATTTAACGACAGAAGGTTGCCAGGTAAAGAAACCATGGCATAAAGCTGGGAGGCCAAACACCCAAGCACAAACTGTCGTCTTTTTCCAAACAATTTAGCGAGAATGTTTCCTGTGGAAATATGCAACCTGTGCAAAATAAAATGAGTTACCTCATGCCGCTGTGTCTATGAACTAGAGACTCTGTGATCTAAGCAGTTGCAATGATCAGACTTGATTTACAAGCATCATGGATCAACCAAGTTACACGGGGTTACACTGTTAATCATGGGTTCCTCCCTTCTTCTGAGTGAATGTTACATGCGCATTTTGTGGCTGGTTTCAAATGCAGTCCAGTGAGAAATTACAGGTTCCTTTTGAAGCTCAACTGTTGCCAGGAGATGGAATATCGACGCCCAACAGGGCAACCAATCAAAGTGTCACTAAGAATACAAATATTTGGAATCAGCAAAAACTGTAGTGTTACAGAACAGTACAGTCTTCTGAACACCCAGATCATAGAGGTGATGATGCTACTAGCCCCCAACTACTCAGTATAATTATTGTCTGAATACACAGTATATGTTTATAGGATGTGAAAAAATGTAATGCAAAACAAATTTGAATCCCATGGCAGTTGGAATATAAAGCAGATGTTTATCACTTATTTTCCTTTTTTTCTTTTCCTTTTTGTTTTTTTTTTGACAGTCTGTGTCTCTGATTGAGATAGAAATGCCAATTTTTAAGGCAATAATGCTTTTCTTAAGTTCCCTAAGGCAGAAGATTTAACATGAAACTCTACCATATCCCTTTCTTTTCCCCCAACACCTTTTCTCTAACCTCCGTATCCCAAATAATAATAATAATAATAATAATAATAATAAAAACAGTTCGTTCAGTGATTCTGAATTAAAAGGATAATGTTTTGCAATCTTTAAGTTGTAAAAAGGGCTGAGTATTGGCTGTGTGGAAGACTAAAGCTTTCATTCTAACATTCAGACATAGCAATCCAAACCCTGTTCCTGCTGTAAATGAACTTGATGGAGCATGGGCAGATCTCAGTGATACGAGAAAGGGGACTGGTCATCTATAGAAAAATCTGTGAGAGAACTTGGACATGGACTGCATTTATCAATACAGTCACAATGTTAAATGAACAAAATTCTTGAACAGTTTTTTTTCAAAAAATGTTCAGGTTTATTTGTGGAAATGCAAGATTTCTATGAAAATAGTTTTTGTATGGAAATTTTTGTAATACTTTTTATCAACAAAACAAGAACATGTGTTCCTGTCAGGGGTGTGATGTCAAGCATGAATGGTAGTGCGTGTGCACCACCAACGTTTGGTGAAAACTATTTTTATCAAGAGAAAAGGAATCATAGAAGAGAAATATTTTCAAGTTAGATAATATAAAAGCTAGGTGCACTACCACCACTGCTTACCATGCCACACCCCTGGTTTCCACGAGGCTGACAACATACTGTAATGAACAATTGTGTGTAAAATGGTAAAAGACACAGACCTCTTGACAACATTGTGATAACAGTTGAGTGCACACAGTTTGCTGTTTGAATCCAATGCACAAAATTAAAAAAAATCATTAAAATTATGTTCATTTTACTTTCAGCATTGTCTATCATTTTTCTCTTGTATGTGTAATGAATGCACCATACACCCTTTACGTTAAGAGAAGCACACATCCTAAACATTTCTAGGTCCTCAAGGATGGCCACTTCCCAACTGCCTGAAGACAAGAAGAAAAACACTTGTGGGAGGGCCTACTCAGATCTGGAAAATGCTGAACTGGGATATAAAAAGTAATCTTAAGTTCAGAGCAGTTAAAATAAGACAAATAGTAGTTCTAGGGGTGACAGACATGATACTACCTTTTCTATGAGTGAATATTGACTTTGTACATTAGGTTGTATAAGACTATACAGTGATCACTGAAATTTAAGGTTGAACTCATATCCTATTTAATAATTCCTTACACGTTGATAATTCAATGTAATTCACCAAAAAACAGAGAAAGAGATAGGCCTAATATTACTCTTAGTTATGATGTGGCATAGATGTTCACATACCAACAGGAACTTTTAAAAATGATAAATTGTAACATATACTTTGCTAAGCAAAACAATTATAATCAGAACCACTGAGAGAAAAAAATGAAAAAGAAGCTCAGTGAAGAATTTTTTTAACTCACAAAAGTTGAATAATCAAAGTGCTTGATATCTAAATTAGATTAAATATCCAAATGTTTTCTAAATTTCTAGTCTCATGGTCATTTTAAGTTAAAATTAATATGTCAATGATAATTATCTGAAAATATAATTTTAGAGATTGCACAAAGCACTGCTAAAAATCTCAGCATTGGTTTGTTTGGTGGCAAATATCCTCAAATAACATACCTCATATAAATGTTCAGATTTTAAATAATATTGAGCTTTTTATAAATTAGATTCTAATTTGACTTTAAAGCACTTTTAAAAATCTGTTTCTTATTGTACTATCCAATCTTAAATGATCGGCAGGAAATGACAACTTTAATTATGTTTAATTAATCAAGAAATAGTTATTTAGATTTCTGCAAAAATTTGACGTTTATTTAATTCATTTAAATTAGTGAACTTTGAAAAGTGTAAAAAACCTTCTGCAAAAATTTGACGTTTATTTAATTCATTTAAATTAGTGAACTTTGAAAAGTGTAAAAAAAGCCCTCAACTTTTCAAGTAATATAGAATATACAAACAATGCATAGTATTACTTTTTATCAGTGTCCTAAAAGGTATCTACATTATTGCCAAAACAGATATGTTTCTACTGTGGGGCTTATGCAATATGAGGTACTAACATTAATTCCAATAAATTATAATTACTTCTAAAGTAAAATTTAACTTTGAAAGAGCATCTCTTCTCTGGGAAGGCAATATATTTGAGTAAGCATTATTCTCTGAAGTACACTGAAATTGCAAGAAGGAGAAGAAGTGAACACTTGTTCAAATCAGCAACGTAGCCTGAGGCTCTCGGTCATCAATGGAGGCACATATGCCACAATTAACCCTGATCAGGATGAAAATACTAAGGATTTATATGCCCATTTAACATACCTAAATAATGTGAACCACTCTGAGAACACCAAAGAGATATATTCAAATATTTACATCTGAATAACCCTAACCACTAAGGAACACTAAGAGGACATACACTATTTTAGAAATATGTAAAAGGGATAATAATATTTTATTGATTGCAATGTTTTAAATATTTTGCAACTAAGTTATATTTTTCAAATACGATGTCTTTATTGCTATTATAGAATGGGTGTATGTATAAAGCACTAATGATTTCAAAGAATTTTTAGCACCACAATACTTTTAAATCCCTGTTTATTATAAAATATAACATATAGAAGAATGTATACAACACATGTGTGCAACAGAATCATGGCACCTGACTGTAATGTGGTCCTAAAGTACTTGTTCAGAAGAAGTGGGCTGTGGCTGTTCCATGTATTCAGATTATAGGCTTTCTTTGACTTATTTCTAACTTTCAGGTATAAATTTAAACAGAATACTTCCATAGAAAGAAAAGAGTACCCAGTCATTTTAGAGAACAGGGTATTAAAGGTACAAGAAGAACTTCACCAGTTTGTGACCAAGCAAAGTGTGAATAATAATATGGGCCAGGCTAAGCTGGCAAAATTTGTCTTTGGATTTAAAAGATAGTACAATGGCAGTGAGGACTTTGGTTATGACAGTCTTCAATGTATCTTTAATTTGAGTCACACTATTTCATTATGGACTGATGGGCAGGCCTCTGTGTCTGCAGCACAATTGTTAATGCAAGATTCATCCCAGCTCTCACCTTCTGGTGATTCCCTTTTTTCTCTCTTCATGGTGAATCTCCTGATGTCTCTAACATGTGTTCTCCCTTTCCTTCATTTACTCTCTATTTTTGGTGTCTTCTAAAGGAGGGGTGCCTGAGGTCCATTTTTTTTTTTTAAGATAGTTAATGTCTGAAAATGCTTTCATTATACTCTCATAAATAATTATTAGTTTTGCTAAGTATAGAATTCTAAGTTGAAAAAATATTTTTCTTGGATAAATGTGAAGGCATTCTATTGTTGGTTTTTTATTATCAGTCTACTGCAAAAAACCTGAAGTTAGATCCATGATTCTTTGTATGTAATTTTTAAAATATGAACTCTTTCTTAATTTTGTACGATCTTCTCTTTATCTTTAGCATCCTGAACTATCCAGATCATAGCTATGTATCTACTTTCATCCATTGTGCTGAGTTCATGCTGATTTTAAAAATTTCAGTTCTAGGAAAACTTTCTGCACTATTTCTTTGATGATTTTCCTTCTTGCTCTCTCTGTTCACTCTAAACAGCTCGATTTCTTTTAACATTGGAATTCCTGAATGTTTGAGTCTAAATTTATTTTTGCTCTCCTCTTTCTCATTTTTTCATTGTTATCTTGCAAATATTGTGCTGAGTTTTTCATTTCTGCCCAACTGTTTAAAATTCTATGAGTTCTTGTTTTATGGCTGTGATATATGTTACATCTTTAAAGACATTACTAGTAATCTTTTGACATTCCCTTCTTCCTGAAAAGATGTTTCCTTTCAGTCACATTATTCTTTTTGCTCAGTTAGATTTCTGTCTTTCATATTAGGCGTTTTCTTCAGATGTTTGTTAATTTTAGCAACCTGCTTATGATAAAGAAAGAAAAAAATAAAATCTGATTTAGAAACTCAATATCCCTCTACAGCAGGATGGAGAAGAATATTTATCTAACTTGAACATTACCATAGATTAATCCAGGTGGCCTATTTGCTGAGGAATCCTTCCAAATGTCCCTATCTTTGGATCTTTTCTTTTGGGCCTGTTCCATTCCCCCAGAAGTATCTTTTACTTTCCTGGCTAAAGATTAAGGCTCCAGCTGCCAGTATTCTACTAAACATCAATTAAGAGAGTTTAGGGTCTCTGCGTTCTGCATTCAGAATGACTGTGGTCATTTAATGAAGCTATTGTAAATATAAAACTTAGTCTTTCAATTGAATCTGGTGCTCTCCTCTAGAGATTTGCTGGATTGGCAGTGGGCAAATTCCTAGGAATGAAGAAGCATATAATACAGGATCCACTATTTTTAAGCTATGCTTAATAGATCTGCCTTATTTTATGTCCCCTCTTATACTACTGGTTATTAATGTACTTTGTACAGCTGGTTCCTCTGCCTTTTGAGAAATCTCTGGTGTAACTGGTTGGGTCTCAGCTTTTTCCACTTTCCATTTGGAATTGACTT